GAAATGTTACGTAATCTGAATCCTTTTCCTTCATAAATGCACCCAAAAAGATGGCTAATTTAAAACCATCTAAACTATTACAGCGGAAGTCTTTGAAATTATCAAGCTTAACTCAAGTTCTAACCCACTTACTTTTGGGGTTGAGTTACAAAAGATCATTACAGTGCATTTTAGACAAAAGACTAAAACAAGATGACAATAGGCAACTCCCTATGCCTGTCCCTTGCCTGTATCCGTCCTCGAACTACCTAGGCCAGAGATGCATACTATAGTCAGCTTATAAAACTCAGTGAGTTCATGGTTTTCGTGCATAAATCATTGTACGTCATACATTTCAACTTGTGAACTTTAAACCAACTTGTCACATGCAATTTCTATAAAACATGCAATACTGAACACATGAGATCTCATGATTTAACTGTCGGGTATGAGTCATTTAGTCACTGGCATTCCCTGAGTCGTCAGCCCTGCTCTTGTCTAGACACTCATTACTGGGTCGTGCCACTTGTCACGTGAGTTTTAGTCACTGGCATTCCCTGAGTTGTTCGACTGTATCTGTCTAGACGCTCATTACTGGATCGTGCCACTTGTCATGTGACTTTTTGGCTAAATGCTCACCCACTAAAACTGATCAAACTTTGATATAGAAAACATGCTAGAGTTATTCGAAAACTGGTTAAACACATAGCATGCAACTGATCATAAAAACGTCATACATGTAAAACATATCATGTATGTAACTTGAAACATCATGCATTTGTACCATCATCATATAAATCATATAATGCTTGCAAATAAGTTTATACGTAGGTATGCAYCCCAGTGTAAGTCTCATGAAGACTCACCTTGATAATGTAGATTGCTTATYTAACGCTGCTGACTGGTAACCTACAATTTATAATAGCATATAGCATATAAATGATTAATTTCTCCCAAAAGSTACATAAAAGTCAACTTACGGTCAACTACGTTGGCTAGGGTCAACCTTGGTCAACTATGCTTAAATGCTCCTTACATCAATMAAAAATTATAGAAACGTGAGTTCCAACATAAGGTGTATTGTCTAGCTATATATCTTAAAATGACTAAGTCTRGAAGAAGGCCAGAGCCTYTGTGAAYGACCAGAGCCTCTGGTGGCATTGACAGAGCCTCTGGGCTCTTAAATCCTTCAGGACCAGAGCCCCTCTGGTTGTATACCACACTTAGAAAATATTTAGTAACCCGTCCATCGATCCTCTGGTTCTAAATCATACTTAGAAGATATTTGTATTCAGGACCAGAGGCACCAGAGCCCCTCTGGTCTCTCTTCCAGAGCTTCTGGTCTTCATAACCAGAGCCTCTGGTTCTTAGCCACACTTAGAAAATATTTCAACGCAGGACCAGAGCTCCTCTGGTCTCTCTTCCAGAGCTTCTGGTCTTCATGACCAGAGCCTCTAGTTCCAACCATACTTGGAAAAATAACTCATCATTGAGGGCCAGAGCCCCTSTGTGGCCTCTCTTCCAGAGCTTCTGGTCTTCACGACCAGAGCCTCTGGTTGAACTATACTTAGAAAATATTCACCAAGGGCCAGAGCCCCTCTGGTCTCTCCCTCTTTTCATCCAGAGCCTTCCAGAGCCCTCTGGTTCTCGCAACCAGAGCCTCTATTGACATAATCTGGTACAGAGCTCGTCACAAAGCTCTCACAACCTAATACAAAACTCATGCAGAGTTTCTAACACGTTACAGAGCTCTCATGCAGAGCTTTTGTATGTCCTCCTCTACGTGGTTTTACAGTGTGACACAGTGTGCTTACTATATGAAATCTAAACCTTGAATCGATCCTTAAAACCAAGGTTTGGTCGTGAGCCTTCCAGGGTTCTATACACGACCAAAGGCATCACTAGACATAATTAACATAAGATTTGGTCGAGTATTTACCTCCAAACRTCGAGGAAACAGGGGGTGTTCTTGCTTGGTCTTKAGCTYCGGTTCCTCWTTCTCTCAAGCTCACGATTCCTTCTTCTCAAGARATAATCACTCTCGGCCAGTATCCTTGATTTATACCCAAGCGATTTGGCCTATTAGTTGACCAAATCGGCCAAATCCCGATTTCCAGGCTGCAAGACTGTCTTCTTTACAGCCTGCAGCCATGCAGGTCGCAGTTTCCTCAAAGAGGCCAGGCCATGCATGCRCCYTTTCCTGCCCTTCCTAACGAGGACAGCAGGCCCTCATCTGTTTGTGCGGTCTGTTGCAAAATTACACAACAGGTCCTTCTGATTTGGGCCGGTTTACA